ATAAGCACGTGTCTTGTTTTCCCTAGTACTAAAAATGTATTTTTGAGGGCAGACTACATGTCTAATATTTTTCACTTATTTCCATGCATCTCATAATGACCATTCTATACAGTAATACCATAGCATTTGATTATTATTATACCTGTGTACAAGCAGAAATAAAAATGAGCTGTATCAATCGTTAGTTAGCATAAAGCCAAATAGAAAAACAGATGATTTGGTCTCTGACAACTGCATGTGCTGCAATAGGACTTTAAGTCATCAATAGTAACAGGCCCTAAAACACAAATCATCACTACAAAATCCAAAACAGTTTGTGTTTCTGTATAATAATAAAAATGATATCTAGGACATATTGTTCTTGCCTTCATATATGGGTATAAAGATAATAATTACAAAGAGTAGTCATACATTCTACTAAGCATGTGAACAATTTAGAAATGTGGAAATATACTTTAATTAATGGAAAAACCTTTTTTATGTTACAGAAAGATGTAAAAATATGCAAGAATGGACTTGTATCTTGTACACAGGTTGAGTTCTAAAGTCAGTTGTAGCACATAAGGCAAAATCAATTACAGATAAAATAACTCTTGAAATTACTGAAACCCCTGAAAAAGCCTTACATTGCCTTTAAAGCATAGCATAATACAGTGCCAGCTCTCAATAAATCCACCTCAGACAGTTTTTCCTCCCACACAAAACAGATTACCATTTCTTCTGCCATGTGCCATGTGAAGCATTTGGCTGATGTTTAGGGGCCATATTGGACGGAAAAGCATACATTTACACGCTGGAATCGTATTCAACACTATGAGACATTTAGACTCTATCAGTTCCTATAACAGGTATAGAAACTGATTCCACCTGAGAGAACGGCAGATTCCCATCTTCCACCTCATGCTTGTTAAGCACATGTTCACTGTGAAATGAGAGCTACAATGATCACATTGTTTAAATTATTTTGTGTTTTGCTTTTGGGTGTTTTGGTATTGGTTTTGATTTTTGGCTTGAGCCCAAAGATTTGAATTTGAATAAATTACATTCCCAGAAACTTGACTACTCTATGTGCTATCTTGTTTATTATGGAACAACAGATGCCTAGAATTTCAGGCACAAGTAATTTAATACTATAGTGTGTCATGTAAAAAAATAAAATAACCTATCTTACCTTCATCTATTGATGCTTCACTACTGTATCCATCATACTCTGCAGAGAGAGGACTGTATTTTTGTCTTGTTTCCCAAGCGTAGTTCTTTTGTCTAGAATCTGCCAATGGTAGTCTGGAATTGTGTGTTCTGGATAAGGCCTCATGATATTTACCCAGTGCTTCATCTTCACTTTCAGAGGATGAGCCATGCTCATCTTTGTCCATGTAGGAATTATCTATTTGGAATAAGGAGAACAAATGATAATTTTTTTGGCCCCCCCCTTTACTTACTTGCCCCACTGGGCCTCTCCCAAATAACAATTTTAATGCAATGAAGAATGGCAAATTTGCTAAAGTTATAATACATACACACACACATATATACATATGCACACACACAAATATTATATGCACATATATACATATATACATATAATCTGAATATTTAACTTTAAAGAAACATGATTTTGTCATATAAGAAGTCTAAGCTTTAGATTTTTATGTTTAAATAAAATAAATCAGTTTGTATACTCCAGTTATATAAATAATGTCAGTCACAGGGATTTTTAACTATGTTACATATAAAGGAAATTACAGTATTTTCCATTTTACAAAATTTTTTAAAGGATTAGTAACACATACAAATGAAGTTATAAATACTGGCAGTACATATGGGCCTGATTCAAATAATTTGTGTTACATGACACATTTCTGATTCTCATTTTGGCCAAAATTTTCAAAACTGACAATGCTCAGTGCTAGCAGTGAAACATAGAAATGGACATATAGTTTTCTCTCTAGGAAAGTTATAATTGGTACAACTTTCCTAGAGAGCAATTTGTCAAAATACATTAAATTTTTAAAATCTCATAATTTTCGATCCATTTCTAGGAATTTATCAATTCCATTTCTAAGAATTCAACCTAAGAAAATAATTAATAGATGAGCAAAGATACATTTTTGAAACAATTCACTGCATTGTGTTTACTAGCAAAAGAACACCAAAATAAGATTATAACCTAAATGTCCATTGGTGGGTCTTGGTTAAGTAAACTATGATATATGGATTCAATGATATACTACACAGTCATTAAAAATGAGGAGATGAACTTACAAGTATTCACAGGGAAAGAATAACTACACCACCATGTTAAGAGAAAAGAAAAGGTTATAAAGTAGAAGGT